TTCACACACACGCACACAAAAGACTCTTAGAGTAAACATTGTCTTAACTAGCACAGAGAAGAAAGTTTAGACAATGTCTCTACCTAGTTTTTACTACTCCACTGAAACTAGTATCTCCTCTATCCCATTAAAGAGAAAATTGACTTAATAACTGTTGATATTTATAGTTGGAAAATTCATCAGGCTACTTACTGGATCAAGAGAACCAGGAATCCTGAACAGCCTTTCTGTGGTGTAAGAAGAAAAGACAGCCATAGAATACAAGTGATGAGGAGATGGATACTGAACTTGAGCTGTGAAATATTGCTTTCTTTGACTAAAAATGAAGATTTTCTGCTGAGACTTCTCCCTCCAGATTCATTTCTAGTGGGGAGGGCTACCTCTGTCCCTTCTCTCCATTTCTCTCTGCCTCTCTCTGTCTCTTTGTGTCTCCCTGTGTCTTTTAATTTTTTTCAAAAATTTTAAGGTGAAATATTCTCTGGACTCTCAAGCTCCTCCTATATGTGCTAATGTGTGCCTTTCTCCATTTCATTTAGGAAAGGCACAAACCAAAGCCCATCCTGAGATGGATACCGAACTTGAGCTGTGAAATACTGTTTTTGTGCACTGCATGCCACATGGTTTTCATTTTTTACTTTTTAAAATTAAAATCTAAAGGTTTTTTTCATCTTTTTTCTTTCTTCTTTTTTCTTTTATTTTTTCTTCTTCTTTACTCTTCTCCAATTCTTTTCCTTTTTTCTTTATCTTTATTCATTGGCTGCTCAGCCTCTACACACTAAGTATCTAGCAAAGATCAAGTAAACAGGATCCAAACATCTGAATACAATTAGAGTCAGACTATTCCTCATCTCCCACTGAATCTGATGCCAAAAGAGTGAAAGAAAATGGAAAAGATACTGCAGATAACCTCCTCCTGCACACCTCTGAACGCTCAGATTGAACTTCAAGAATTAGGAAGAAATGCTCCATCTATCAGATGACTAAAAATCAATACAGGGTCACAAGAAATATGGGAAACTAAGAAAATACCTCTCCTCCAAAGGAAAAGAATAACTCACCCCCAGACAGTACAATGAAACTCATAGGAATGTCAGATAAAGAATTTAGAATATCCATAGTGACAAAACTAACAGAGATGGAAAAGAAAAGAGGAGCTGGCAAGTGGTATGGTGGTTAAAGGCACCGGACTCCCACATGGCCGACCAGGGTTCAAGTCTTGGACCTGGTGGCTTGCTTGCTCACTTCCTCTCTCTCTCTCTGCCTTTCTCAGATAAAACTGGAAAATAATAATGATAATAATAACAAATAAAGTTAAATAAAAATAATTCTGAAAAAGAAAAAAGAAAAGAAAAGAAAGGGAAGACAAAGAAAAGAGACAATGAACTGTAGAAGAGGCAGGAGAAAGGAGCCGATGAGTTTCAGGAGGTGAGAAAATTCTTGCAAGATCTAAAAGAGGAAATACATACTATAAAAAAGAATCAAATGGACTTGTTAGAGATCAAGGCTATAATACAGGAAGTCAAAATCTCCCTTGAAAGTATTTAAAGCAGACTAGATTAACAGAAAATTGAATCTTAGATGTAGAAGACAAAATCACTGGCCTAGAAAAAGTCACCATGAAGACTGAGAAAATTGCCCATTCCCCCCCAAATAAGAATAATACAAGAGAAATATTAGATACCATCAAACATTCAAACATCCAGATAATTGGAAGCCCAGAAGGTGAAAAGACTCATAAAGGCATTGGTAATCTATTCCATGTAATCCCACAAGAAAACTTTCCAAACCTACAGAGGCATTCAAAGGTCCAGACTCAAGAAATACAAAGGACCCCAAATAGAATCAACCAAAGAAGATCTTCTCCAATACACATTATAGCCAGATGGACCAAAAACACAGACAAAGACAAGATACTAAGATCGGCAAGAGAGAAACGTCAAGTTATCTACAAAGGATATCCCATCAGGCTAACAGCAGACCTCTCATCAGAAACAATGTGAGCAAGGAAAGAATGGAAAATATATATTCAAAGTGTTAAGGGAAAAGCAATTTCAAACAAGATTACTGTATCTGGCAAGTTTATCCTTCATATGGGAAGAAAAGACAAGAACATTCTCAGATAAACAAAACCTGAAAGAACTTACCACCAGACCATATCGCCAAGAAGTTCTCAAGGGAGTGCTATACCAGGAAAATTAAATACAGACACACAGAAATAAGATTTCAAAAACTAAGAAAATGACTAACTTAATCATAGGGACAAGTCTGGAGTTGAATATTATATCCTAGAATTTAATCAGGAAGATAGTAAGCTATATAGCATCACCTAGGTGCTACTTTATACTATATGCATTCTACTCAGAGCTTCATGCCTAAAGTCAGACATGTACTCACAGATATGTATATACCAGCTGAACTTGCTATTGAAAGTAGTTAGATTATTTAAGAAATATTGTGGATCAGTAAAACCTGGGGGGGGAAAGGAATGGAAAACAACTTTAGACAGCTGAGATAGTGTGGAAGAAGGGTGGGAAATAGCAGAGGTTGAGAAATAGGGGGGAAAATATACATACATATATAAATGAAACTAGAAATGGAAAATTATTGACAATAACACGTGTGATTAAGCCACTATGCAGTATATTCTGGATGGGAAGTCTCATTTTGTATGCTGTGATGATGCTCAGTGAATGAATGTAAACTAATTAATTAATTAAAAATTAAATAAAGAATACAATTGATGAGCACAGAGTTTAGAGTGCTTTTTGTCTTTGAAATTTTAATGCTTCTTCTACCTTGTTAGTCTGAAACGAGAATATCTTAGTTTCTAAACCAAGATCAGACTCTGTCATGCAAGGTTTTTTCATATTTTCCCACTACTATTGTCTCTATAAGCCAAAGGTGTGGTGGTTAAGGCAACTGGATCCCACATTGTTGACTGCAGTCTATACGGGTGGCTTGGAAAACATGCTGGACTCGTGTGTTTGTTTGGCCCAAATTCTGAAAGGAAGAATGGAGAAGGGATTGCAGCATGACTATGCTCCACAGGGAATGCTTTTGACTTTCCTTCTCTTTCTCTTTTTCTAATTAGCACACACACTGTCTAGCAAATAAATAAGTATAAATAAAAGATTGTTTAGCACATGTTTTGCAAACTTAGCTGCAAATGCAGATACTGTATATTGTTCTTACATAACTATCCACAGAGAAGTCAGAAAGGCTACTACATAAGGAAAATTGAGAGAAACCATGACCAGCCACCTTATTTAACCACTAAGGCTCTAGGAATGATAGGATTTGCATACCTCAAAACTCTTCCAGCATTCTTCTTTTCATTCATTAAAGTAAATGAAATAGTTTAGACATTTCTTTAGTCCTGTCATACAGAGATTCCTTTTGCAAGAGCTAATAAAGGAGCATAGTGAATGTTTAAAATGTAAATCTATAAATAGAGTTCACAAACCAGTCTCTATGAAGCAGTCCTCAGGGCCCTGGCAACTGCTAAGATGGATTTTTCAGAAGTCTCCTTCTTCAATAAACAAGATAAGTCTTCTTACGTAAATACTGGGAATGACTGGGCATTGACAGGATCACTCCTGGCTGGGCAAGTTCTTGAGGAAGGAGGTAGCTGGTGCTTCCTCCAGAGAACACACATCTCCTTCTGTGGCCTGAGTTACATAGTCAGAACTTGTGGCCACATTGGCCCCCTTTACTTTCTGGGTAGTACATCTGAAGGTTGCATTCATAGAATTAATAAGTGGTAACTCCAGTGCCCATGACTGGCTCCAAAAATGGCCTGTTGATAATTAATTTTGGTCTTAAGGAATGAGTAGCACAGAATGCCTACCCTCTCTGAGGCTTTTGCTCCCCTACAGAGTGAACTGGCATCTTTCTTTGGCTTAATTCAGAGAATAGATTTCCAATCCAGCCCTGAGTAGCCTCTAGAGTGTTTTCTGAGCCAATCTCTGGTGGGGTATTGGGCTCTAGTCTATTCTGAAGAAAGAAGTTGGCATACTCCAAGAATGAGTATATTTTGTAAACCACAATCACATAAATGTGGAGGAAAATACAGTATCTGCCAGCAATGCTTCTAGCCTGTGTGTGCAATAGACTAGAACCATCAGTGTCAGAACAGAAAGAGACTCTAGCATCATTAGGGCTAGGTCCACAGTAATGACTGAGAATAAGCGACCCTCTCAATGCCATTTATCAGTGACAGATCTGGTCACTGCTAGCTCCAGACCAGGTATCCTATAGCACCAAGTTCCCTGAGTTCCCTTATTTATAAAAGAATAACAATAGTAGCCTGATGGTGATACAGAGGGTAAAGATATCACCATGTGAATCAAACCTATATGGGAAGGTTGCCGGTTCACTGCCAGAGACTTCCCAGCATACATGCATGTGCCCATGGAGCCTGATTGGCAGGTTGAGACTGCAGGCATCAGACCCTGTTAGTGGGACTATATCTTTATCATTCATTTTCTCTTTCTGTCTCTCTCACTCATAGAATAAATTTAAAAATTTAAAAGGAATAGAACAATACTTTTCTGGCAAAATATCAGTGATAGCTAAATGGGTTAACCTCTGTATAATTGTCTCACACCAAGATAGATGGCAAGTAAATGTTTAATCATTTTTTATTACAAGGTAGCCTCCATTGGAGCCACATCTATGATCACTGTCTATGTTTGCCAAGATCCATGTTGATATTATGCTATTCCCACATATATAAGGAATTGGTTTCTACCATAAAATTCACCTTTCTGTAACATAAAAGGTGAATTTAACTTATATAGAAAGTACTGGGTCATCTAGAAAGTCATGATGCATTTTTGCATGGAAAAAAAAAACATAGAAAAATATTTCATGACTTTTCCTGGCGAACTACTAGTACCTTTGAAAAACATATTTATATAGATTTTTCTATTTCTACAATATAGAAGCACTATAAACAGCACAAACAGGACAAACGTACAGCCTTTGTACTCAAGGTCTACCTGATGTTGAGAGCCTGTCTTAGATGAAACACTCATGAAGTCTTGCTCTTCTCTGGAGCACACTGCTGTCCATTGTTTCTCTGATTAAAAGAAAACAAAATAAAATAAAAAAATGAATAAAACCTTCAAAACTTGGGAATTTAATTTCTCTACCAAGAATTATATTTCTATCCTTTCACCACTTATAGTGTTACTAACTAATAGAAATATAGTCAAAACTTCATCAGCAGGTTTTGTTTGTAAATATCTTCTGAGGCTTGTAATTGTAGCTTTGAGAAAGCGGTGTAAGCCTGTGACAGTATTGGGGTGCATGTGTGTGGGCGTGGGTGTGTGTATGTATATATATATAACCTTCTTAAAATATACAGGTAATTTAAAAAATAGAGAGAAGAAAAACAGATGTAACAAAAAGAAGTTAGATGTAATTTTGACATTTTTACTTTCATTTGGCAATTCGATTTGTGATTTTTCTTTAACACAAGAGAATTTTCAACTTTTTTTTTGACAGGAATTTTTTTTTTTTTTTTTGGAGAGATTTTCACTGTAGGGCGCGTGCGCTCGCCAGACAGACAGAGAGAGACATAGAGACAGAAAGCGAGAAATCACCCCCCAGGGGGGATGGTCACGCCGCAATCCCTTCTCCTCCATTCTCCTCTCGGGATCTTGGGCACGCACGCACACGCGCCCGGCGTGAGTTTTAAGCCACCGGGTCCGGGACACGAACCGCGGTCGACTACGTGGGAGTCCAGCGACATAGCCATTATGCTAACTGCTGGTTCCCAACAGGAATTTTTTTTTAATATATATTGTTTTAAATGCCAGAGGAGTACATGCATGAGAAAGCAAGAGCATCCCTCAAAGGGGCCTAGTCATGCTGCAATCCTTTTTCCTCTAATTCTCCATCCTATCAGGATCCTGTGCAAGCATGTGCATACCTGACATGTTTTTCGAGTTGACAAGGCTAGGATTCAAACTCTAGTCAGCTATGTGGTGTCCTGCTTCTATGTCTGATTGCTCCTCTACAGAGATTTTGAAGTCATCTATTTATTATCAACTAATTTTATTGCTAGTTTAGACATTTTGCTATTTACTATTTATGATAACAATATTTTTCTTGATTTTTATTTTCTCTTGATTTCAAGAAAGAGATGAGTCCTCAGAATAAAATTATACTGAGACCAAAATGTAACTTTAAACCGTACAATGCCAAAAACTTTTTTCCCAAAGGTTAACAAGAGGTAGAAGGAGAGATTACTTACAAATGAATGGCAATCTAACAGCAGACTTCACATCAACAGCAACAGGTATAAAAGGATGAGGAAAACATTATTTCAAAGTGTTGAGAAATTATAACTTAACTGAGAACTCTATACCAGCTAAATCATTACTCAAGAAAGACATAAAAATAAAGGCATTTAAAATTTACTTGCCATTTTCTAAAAGACACACTCATTATATTTATATTTTATCAAAAGGCAAATTAGAGGGCTAGATAGTGGTACAGTGGTAGAACAGGACACTGTGAGGCTGACCCAAGTGGAAAGATTCTGGGTTTGTATCTGTAGACTTCCTTGAGTATACCAGGCACATAGGCTGGTGATCTGAGCTGGCAGAGGGAGGGAGTGGATCATGGCATCAAGACTTGTCAGGAGTGCTCTGTGTGTGTGTGTGTGTGTGTGTGTGTGTGTGTGTGTGTCCTTAAGTCACAAAAGAAATAAATGAACTTTTTATTTACAAAAGCAAATTGAACCCATGAGGAAGCCATGAAACATAAGAAGGAAAGTGAGAGGAAAACAAACAAACAAACAAACAAACAAACAAAAAACAGAAAATAATTCTTCCAGTACTCTGTAGACAGAATCACATTAATGGTCAATGTGCAACATTTAATGCATCATTATCTAAAATAAACAAATTTAGGTATTTAGAAATAATAAAAACCTATCCTAGTATGGACAGTAAAATGAAGAAAATTGTTTTTCGAGTTGACAAGGCTAGGATTCAAACTCTAGTCAGCTATGTGGTGTCCTGCTTCTATGTCTGATTGCTCCTCTACAGAGATTTTGAAGTCATCTATTTATTATCAACTAATTTTATTGCTAGTTTAGACATTTTGCTATTTACTATTTATGATAACAATATTTTTCTTGATTTTTATTTTCTCTTGATTTCAAGAAAGAGATGAGTCCTCAGAATAAAATTATACTGAGACCAAAATGTAACTTTAAACCGTACAATGCCAAAAACTTTTTTCCCAAAGGTTAACAAGAGGTAGAAGGAGAGATTACTTACAAATGAATGGCAATCTAACAGCAGACTTCACATCAACAGCAACAGGTATAAAAGGATGAGGAAAACATTATTTCAAAGTGTTGAGAAATTATAACTTAACTGAGAACTCTATACCAGCTAAATCATTACTCAAGAAAGACATAAAAATAAAGGCATTTAAAATTTACTTGCCATTTTCTAAAAGACACACTCATTATATTTATATTTTATCAAAAGGCAAATTAGAGGGCTAGATAGTGGTACAGTGGTAGAACAGGACACTGTGAGGCTGACCCAAGTGGAAAGATTCTGGGTTTGTATCTGTAGACTTCCTTGAGTATACCAGGCACATAGGCTGGTGATCTGAGCTGGCAGAGGGAGGGAGTGGATCATGGCATCAAGACTTGTCAGGAGTGCTCTGTGTGTGTGTGTGTGTGTGTGTGTGTGTGTGTGTGTGTCCTTAAGTCACAAAAGAAATAAATGAACTTTTTATTTACAAAAGCAAATTGAACCCATGAGGAAGCCATGAAACATAAGAAGGAAAGCGAGAGGAAAACAAACAAACAAACAAACAAACAAACAAACAAAAAACAGAAAATAATTCTTCCAGTACTCTGTAGACAGAATCACATTAATGGTCAATGTGCAACATTTAATGCATCATTATCTAAAATAAACAAATTTAGGTATTTAGAAATAATAAAAACCTATCCTAGTATGGACAGTAAAATGAAGAAAATAATAGTTAACCATAAAAATGCATAAATTAGAAACAAAGTCAAGTTATTTATAATGCAACAGATGGTTCTTTGAAAATAACCAATAAGTTGAATAAACTTTTTAAAACCTTGGCAAATATCACAAAATTACAACTAAAATAAGAACACAAAACACTAAGTTAAAAGAATAGTACTTTTTTATTTCCTAAAATATATGAATCCCTGATGAAATTAACTAAATGCACTACTCAATAACAAACACAACTTGGAATAGAAAGCCTAAATAAAAAACAACCAAGAAAAAAATTTAAACTCTCAAAATATACAAACAATAGCAATAAACTCTAGGCTTGAATGGTTTTATTGGAAAAATATTTCACATATTTAGAGAGAAAGATGATTTCTCATGCTACATAAGCTATTCTGACAACACATGCCAAGACTTTGTTCCAAAATATTTTCTCTCCATCACACTCCATATACTGAGGTTTTCTCAATGTAGGGGAAGATGTTTATGTCTCTTGCAGAGTGAGAGAATCCATACCCAAAATGAGGGTTGGGGAATTTCTCATTTTTTTCAAGCAGGTTTGGGAAAACCAGATAAGCGTGCAAAACAATAGCTAAGCTTCTAATTCAAATGAAAACAATGAATTCATGTTTATCTCTGCTACATCTTGAAAATGCATCTAAATGTAGTTTAAACGTACAGAATAGGAATAAGTAGATAAATAAACTGATAATTGAGGAGAGAGGACAAAGGTCAACCAAAGACAATATTGTTCAAATTTTTTAAGTTTACTTTTATTTATTTCCTACATGACAGAGAAAAAGAGACAGTTAGAGAGACAAAGAGAAAGAGAAAGAAAGAGGAACCCCAACAGGGACTTCATGCTGCAATCCACCCTTAGCCCCAGCCAGCCTGGTGTGGTGTGTACAGGAAGGCCTTGAAATACAAACCCAGTATCACAGAGCATGTTGTTACCACGGCACCATCATGGCCAGGCTGGAAGTTTTTTAGATTCTCTATACTACAGGATAACATGAATCCACTATAGCTAGTGAAACAAGCAAGGATATAGTGAAGAAGGTAATAACCACAACTGCCATTCTCCACCTTTACTTTTCTTATAGACTTAAGGTAACCAATATCAATAGTCTACGTCCAATATTCTTCTTCCTAATGACCAAGAAAAAACATATCAAGACCACGAATTCACACATAAAATCGTTTGGGGTTGTCACTACAGTGTGCTTTGCTTTTACAAAAATAGTTGTAACACTAGGCAACTTATTTCTTTCAATAAGCACATCTTTCCAGTACTATGGGATCTAACTCATTCTTTTGATAACTGCATAATTTTCTATATGATGGATATTACATAATTTTTGCAAGCGTAACTGCAGATGGGTGTTCAGATTTCCAATATGATGCTAGTAAAATGTTGTTGTAATTAGCACTCTTAAATACAATGCTTCTATATTTTTATTCAAGAGTATTTCAAAGTGAGATTTCAATTAAAAAGCATGAGGATTTTATTCAATAATTGTGAGCTGATTACGTTCTAGAGCGACAGCGATTCATTTGCTGAGCAGTGGCACATGAAAGTGGCACTTTCATTTAAAGCTTACGATGAGTGGGCATTATCACTCTAATTTTCAATAAATGGGTGCAAAATGTTATCTTGCTGCCACTTTAATTCCCCCTTCACTGAATACCATGAGGATCAGCATCATTTACTATATGTATGCTCTGCTGGAATCTCTCTTACTTGACTTTCTTATCCATACTTGTTTTCCTATTGGGTTGTGACTTTTCCTGATCAGTTTTTAATGAACTGCTAAGACTGTAGAAATATTAACTCTTACCCAGTCAGAAAGGGCAGGAAAACTTTTTCCAATCAAACATCTATTTTTTAAGTACACACAAATGCACATAAACTATATATAGTTTACAAATATACATGTATGAGAAGAATTCAAAGAGTCTGTGGGAAAAAGAAATTAAATTATAAGATTATTTTTTGTTACTGTATTTTTTGTTTGTTTCTTCTTGCCAGAGGCCACATGTACTCACCAGAGAGACACAGAGA